TGTCTGTGTCTGTCTGTGTTCCACCCCTCATCACCCCAGTTGGTCTAACAGGACCAAGCTTTGCAGGATGTGATGGGCATAGGTAATATGTTTTGGTTGTTTGGTTTCTAATTTCCCCCCTTTGGGGACTTCATACGCTATGTTTTTATAATATTCTTTCCTGTCCTCCAGCTCTTCCCATATACTCCAGCCGCCATCCCTACCTACTCAACTTCATGTTCTCCCTCACTGGTTTCATGGCTGGATAATATTGATAAGTACTTTTCTCATCTGATAGTGTACATAGCACCTTCTAGCACTGTGGACACTCGCCAATAGGGGTGAAGTTTCCAGTTGAGCACCAGCTAGATTTCTCTGTGTTCTGTGCCAAAAGTACGTAGTGTCTTCCTGCAATAGGACCTTGCTCTAAGGTTGTGGATGGTAACCAACAGCACTGGCAATAGCCTGTAGAGTTTGGTGGGTCTATGGGTCCCCTTTGGCCAGAGACTCAAAAAGATGCCCATTCCTATTACTAGGGGGTTTTACTTGGTAGCATATGCAATCTGGTTGGGGTATTGTCTTCTCCATTACATGCTGACTCTATTTACATTTCTTTTATGTATGTATGTGTTTTTAAAAGTTTCTACAGTAGTAGGTTTCCTTTTGGGTGTTTTATTATTATTACCATGTGTGTATATGTGTATTACCATGGCGCTTGTATGGAAGTCTGAGGACAACTTTGTGGCCTTGGTTCTCTTTCCATCTTTATGTGGGTTCTAGGGGTCAGACAGGCCCCCCAGTTTGTACAAGAAGTGCCTTGACCTGATAAATCATTTTGTCACCCTGATTTCTGAAACAGGGCCTTATTATATAGCTCAGGCTGGCATGGAATTGGAGAGCCTCCTACCTCAGCCTGATTCTGAGATTAAAGGTGTGTGCCACCACCAGGCCTAGCTAGGTTTTTTTTTTATGTGTTTTATGTACATGAGTGCTCTTCCTGGATGTATGCCCACACACCAGAAGAAGGCATTGGATCCTATTATAGATGGTTGTGAGCCACCATATGGTTGTTGAGAATTGAACTCAGGACCTCTAGAAGAGCAAGCAGTGCTCCTAACCATTCTGACTATATCCCCAGCCCCTATTTTTTGTATGCTATCTATCCAAACTGATGTAAGATACAATCTCAGTGTCGTTGGATTTACTTGTCCCTGTTGGCTAAAGGTGTTGAAGATTGTGTCACCTGCTTGTGGCCCTTTGTACTTTATTTGAGAAGTGTTGTTCACTTCATCTGTCCATTTGCTTATTGATTCATTGACTTGCTCTTCTGGTGTTAAAATTGTGGTGAATCTTTTGGTTCTTTTTAAGTTCTTCATATACTCCGGCTATATGAAGGTTGGATATGGACCGTATGTTGTGGTGAAAGACCCCTGAGCTTGGTAACTTTCTGTGTTGGTAATGACAAGGTCCGTGTCAACTTCATGCTCAGAGCCTAAGATAACTTTAAGGGGTAGGAAAAAAGCAAATTTTACAGTTTATGTCAGGAACCCTGTGGTCTCCTTTAACAATGTTGGCCACTGGGAAATAACACTAGATGGTTTCTGTTGTAGCTCCTATGGGGTTAGAGCAGACTTAGTCCAGAGACCAGGAGTCTTTAGAACCAGAGTCACTGGTCTCCCTCTGTGACCAGAGTCTGCCTCCTGTGTCTTGCTGAGCTTGTTGTTGGGGAGAGTATGTGGACATTAGAATAGCTGTTGCCATGGGCCTGTGCCTACTTATTTGTGTTTCTACTAAGTTCTTTCAGGGTCAGAAAAGGCCAGGCTCAAGTCACAGAACCTTCCAGAGATACCATCTGAAAGAGGTGACATTTAATGGGAAGATCTTAGGTCATTGAGGGATATGGTAGCCCTCATAGGACCCCTTGAAAGTTCACACAAGGAGATGGCTGTAAAAAGACCGAGCCTGGTTTGAGATGTGGTTTCTTCTCCACATACGCCCCACCATTCTCCATCCACCATAGTCCAGGCCATCTAGAGCCTCACCCCCCTCACCCCCTGAAATGGTGAGCTGAATAAGTCTTTTCCCTCTGAAGTTAGTCCTTCTCGGGTGTGCTGCTGGTAATGAAAAGCTGGCCAATGGGTTGAGGGGCAGGTATGTGGTTGCTAAAGGTTTATCAGCCCTCAGAGTTGCTTTGAGGGAAGAGGGAGGGCCTCTCAGCCCTTAATATTACTTTGAGGGAAGGATCTCACAGTTGCTAACAGTTGAATGCTTTTCCCCTTGGCCTCAGTGGCAACTTTGTGAGATGACAGTGTACTCTCACAATTGGGTATAGGTTCATGCAGTCTACTAACCTTTGGTTTGAGACAAGCTCTCCTGCATCCCAGGCTAGCCTAAAACTCACCACATAGCTGAGGCTAGCCTTGCTGCCCTGATCCTCTTGCCTCTACCTCCTAATGCAGTGGTTCTCAACCTTCCTAATACTGCGAGCTTTTAATACAGTTCCTCATGTTGTGGTGACCCCCAACCATAAAATTATTTTCATTGCTACTTCATAACTGCAATTTTGCTACTGCTATGAATCGTAGTGTAAATATCTGTGTTTTCTGTTGGCCTTAGGCGACCCCTGTGAAAGGGTCGCTCAACCCCCAAAGGGATTGAAACTCACAGGCTGAGAACCGATGTGCTAATATATTTACTACCATACCCAGCTAGTCTACTTATCATATCCAGGTCTCTCAGTTTTACATACATATATGTGTGTGTGTGTGTGTGTGTGTGTGTGTGTGTGTGTGTGTGGTCAACTGAGTAGGTCTGTTGCCCAGTCTAGTAACCAAGAATGCAAGAATGCATTCTGTGCTTACAGAGGACTCAAGCTAGGTTCCTAGCAACCACCTAAACTTTCAGCTCCAGGTGGATCCAGTACTCTCTTCTGGCCACCATAGGCACCTGTACTCACTTGCACTCATGTGCACACAGACAGACATATGCATACAATTAAAAATACATCTTAAAATCCTTTAACTGCTCTTGGTTTTGCTAGGTGGTAGGGATAGAATGTAGGCCCTTGTGCATGCCAGGCAAGTGATCTACCACTGCGCTGCAGCCTCAGCCTAAACGCTTTAGATTCTGTCTTTTCTTTTTCCTCTCTTTCCTCACTTCTTTCTTCCATTCTTGCTCTCCTTCCCCACCCCTATTCTTTCCTTTCACCTCTGGCTGGCCCAGAACTGACAGTACAGCCTACACTGGCACCGGACTTGTGTACAAGCATTTGCCGCCATGCCTGGCCTAAATCTCCTGTAAAGAAAATGCATTTTAGATGGGCTCAGACAAAGCACATTTACTAATTAGGTGACCCAGAAAGAGTGTCAGGAAAAGATAGTATAAACCAGCTGCCAAGCCTGTGTTAACAGAGATTAGGGTGGGTAAGAGGCTGTTTGACATTCATGAGATAGCATGCAAGTCAGAGACAGACCGACAGTCACAAACTGGGGGATGGACAGAAATCTCTCACTAGTAAGTCCAAGCCCACATACGAAGCAAACTAATACAGTGGTTTTGAGATATTCAGGTAGGGAAGGGCCTTCCACCTATAATTTTTATCACTAAGTAACACGGGTCAAGATACTGGATTAGTAAAGAAAAAACAAAAAAAATCTGAGGTCCACTGAAGTGAATACTACTTCTATAAGCAGGGTGGGAATGGCTGAGTAGCTTTTCCAGTTTTAGAATCCAGTCACAGATAAAACAGAGGAGGCAAATAAATATGCTTGCAGAACCAGAATGGGGATTTCATCTGTCTGCAGGGTCTTCTGTTAGTAAGCAAAATGGGTACAAGTTGGCCTTTGGAAGCTGGAATGAGAGAGGAAGCAGGGTGTGTGTGTGTGTGTGTGTGTGTGTGTGTGTGTGTGTGTGTGTGTGTGTGTGTGTGTGGCGGGGGTGGGGGACTCGGGCTTTCAGCAGGGAGCCTACACTACACAGAGGAATGAGTGGACAGACGCTTCGTCCGTTACTAAAGTCACAAATTTGGGTAATTAATGGAAGAATGTTATACCTATGTATAATGAATGTCATTTGGTTTTGGTTTTTGTTTTTTTCAAGAACTGGCATTATAAAATCAGAGACATGTTCTTATATAGAAAAGAAATAAGTGAAGTTTCTGCACAAGAAGAGAGCTTCATTGTTGTATGAACTAGAGTAAACCCCAGATTGACTGCTGGGAGGACTGGGATGGGGGACTGGTGTAAATGAGTAACGTTACAGGGTGAACAGTCTAAAGAAGTAGGTAGCCTGCAGAAGTGGTAAACCATGGTACCAAAGGTAGTAGAGGGGAGGCGGAGAATTTTAATGTCACATGAAGCTGTTAGGGGTGGTGGCGGTGGTGAGGAAAAGCCATTGACCCGCAGTAAGAATTAGTCAGGGGAACCGATGTGACATCAGCTCCTCTTCCGGGGAATTCTAGCTGTTGGATTTTTGGAAGCTTAGGCAAAGAAACACACGATGGGGGAATACTAAGATACCTGCGGACATTTTCATCACTGAAAGTCAGAAGAACGCTGCTGCGTGTTGAAAGCCTTCTTGAATTTGCTCTATGTAGTGTAGGAAGGGATTCAACTCTGCTGTAGAGATTTGCTGGCCACATGCCTTTTATTTTTAAGGTTAAAAAATGAAGTGAGAGTCTTCTCTATGACTTAGGATCTTTGGAATATTCTAAAGCTAATTTTTATTTTGTACCACAGTCAAGCACTCTCCTTGAAAATTTCACTTATTTTTTTCTACCCAAGAACACACCTCTGATTTTATAATGCCAGTCATTAAAAGGTAACATTTATTATTAGGTTTGGCCACGTTCATTTCCCAGTCTGGTTAGCCTCCAGAGATGGTGTGGTCCTCCAGGCTGCTGGCCAAGCTGTGGACACCTTACAGAGGGGAAGGGGAGCTGCTGCATGGAATGTCATGTGTCTGATGTGCCGCCCTGTGGTGGTGAGGCTAAACAGATCCTGTCTCCCTTTCCTTCCCTCTAGGAAGGCGCTTTTGTCTACTTGTCTGTAGTGGGGAATGTTGCAGATTCCCAAGGCTTGATTGCATCTCTATGTAAGTAATTAAAAACATTTGCATTTGAAATGTCTGAGGAGATGAATTGCAAGAGTGGCTGTCGGTGAACTGAATGTCTGTATCACATATTGTATGATTCCATTTACATGTCCTGTCCAGAATAGGTGAATCTATAGAGACAGATAACCAATTAGTGGTTGCCGGGACTGGGGATGAGAGGGGATGTGGAAGGGAAGTGGGTGACTGCTGATGGGGGCGGCTTTCTCGTTGGGAATGTTCAGCTAGATTGTGTCTATTCAAATCTGTGAATGTACTAAAATTGGAATTGTGTGCCACGTGAATTACATCTCAGCAAAGCGATACAGTAAACAGAGTGTAGACAGCTGCGGTGTGCCTCAGTGGTGGAGCACTGGCCTAACGTGTGAGCCCCGACACAACACTGGAAAACAAAGAGAAGACACCAGAAAGCCTGCAGCATTTAAACTGGGTGCTGCCGCAGATATGCTTTATATCCATTTACTTTGTAAAACTTGATTTTCATTTCTGTGTGTGTGTGTGTGTGTGTGTATCTGTGTGTGTCTCTGTGTGTGTCTGTGTGTGTCTCTGTGTGTGTCTCTGTGTGTGTCTGTGTGTCTATATATGTGTGAGTTTATGCATGTGAGCAGTGTCCTCAGAGGCCAGAAGAGGGCGTCAGCTCCCCTGGAGCTGGGGTTACAGGCCGCTGTGAGCTGCCCAGTGTGGATGCCGGTATTGAACTCAGGTCTTCTGGCAAAGCATACATACGCTTAACGGCCGAGGCAGCTCTCCAGCTCCAGTTTGCTTTTGGTTGTCTGTCTATACCCGTCTTCTGAATAATTCTCCAAACTCCTCCTGCCCTGTGGAGCTATCAAGTAGTTTCCCCATATTCTTAACACTCAATGTAAATCAGCCAACACTTAGTCACTGATACTGACTTCCCAGAATGCTCTATCCCAGTGGGGCTAAGTCGGCGAGTCAGGTGCCTGCCTCTCGTGCTTGCTCTTTTCAGGTTTGGCATCAGCAGTTCTGCATTGTCTACTGTGTGTCTTTCCTTTTCCTTATTTTCTTTATTATTTTCCTCTGCTTTTATCTTCATTTATTTATTAAGTGTCTATGTGTATGGTATATGCAAGTATATGTGGGTGTGTTTCACGTTCTTATTTCTTTTATGCTTTTTTTTAAATTCATTTATTCCCCGTGTGTGTGTGTGTGTGTGTGTGCATGTGGAGGACAGTTTTCGGGAAGTGGGTCTCCCCTTCCGCCAGGTGATTTCCTAATAATCAAACTCAGGTTGTTGGGCTTGGTGGCAGGTGCCTTGACCAGCTGAGCCAGCTCACCAGTCCTAATTTATCATTTTATTTTATTATCTTTGGTACTGAGGGTGGAGCTATGGCCTTGCTCATGCTAAGCACATGCTGTGTTACTGAGTTGTGTCACCCCCAGCCCTATTTCTGTCCTGTCCTGAAGTCACAGGCTCACACCAAGGTCTTTGTGGACACTCTCATTCACGATTAGTGTTAGGAAACGTCCAGAAAACCGAACTGTCTCATTTCAGTCAGTGCTTCTGAGAACAAAATGTGTCGTCTTTGGTCCCTCTGGTCCTGTGCTGTGTTCAGGCAGGGATCTGAGCCCCTTTGCCACAGCCCTGCTGCTGTAGCTCCAGGCTGGGCTCAACCTCTCTGTGTTAAACTTGGCTTGAGGTCCGCTGCAGTCATGAGACTGGAGGTCCCCGCCTGAAGCACCACCCCGCCCTCATGTGTGTTCCTCTGCTCCCCTTTGTCAGGAGGGCTGCTGCAGCTTCGACACTGGCTGGCTGCCCTGTTTTAGCATCAGAGAAAGTGATTAGTCCAGATGTGGCTCAAGTCCACGGAATGTGAACGGTTGACAGGGTCTTTCTGTGTCTCCATCTTTAGGTGGACTGCCCTTTTATTTTGAAAGCAAATGCTCTAGAGCAGCTGCTGACCCAGAGGGTCCAGGCCGGGACCTCCCGGAGGCTGGCCATGGCTTCAGGCTCAGGCCACCCTCGTCCCCTCCGGATGGCAGAGCATGCAGCAGTGGTGGGCTGCAAAGCCTCCCCCCTCAGCCATGGCTTTGCCCCTTCTCCCTCTGAACCGCTGCCTCCTGCGGTTGTCAGTCACAAAATAAATGGAATTGATCACATCATCGTGATTTTTAACCCTGGCGTTGGACCCTTGGTTGTTCAGGTTTAGTAAGGTGGGCAGTGGGTAGAGTTCAGCAGCAAAGGACATATCAGAGGTTCACATGTGATCTGGTGGACAGCAGGGCCACCATCAGGCCATCCGTCTGCCTTCTCCACCATCTCCAGACACTCCTCGGCTTTTCCCACTTACCTCCAGCTGCAGACATTCTGCTTCCAGACCTGGGGCGTTTGCACATGCTCTGCTCTGGAGCACCCCATTCTTTACCCAGTCATTCCTTGTGATGTGAGGCCTGCCAGGACTCAGGGTTCAGTATTCTGTTTGCCACCAAGTGGGGTGGGACACACCTCTAATCACAGTACTTGATGGGGTGGGGTGGGTAAGGCGGGAAGATTGCTAGTTGGAGGCCAGTCTGGTCTACATAATAAGACTATCTGAAAAGAACAAAGGGCCGGAGTATAGCTCACTGGTTGCGTGTTTCCCCAGCATGCACAAAGCAGTGGGTTTGGTCCCAGATCAAACCACAACCGTGATGATAAAAATAAGAAGTGAATTTAAAAAATATATGCCTTGACATCACAGTAAAATCTGGAAGACACCCCAGTATTTCCATAGCTAAGAGTCACTAGCCATCAGCCCTCTTGATTGTGGAGAGCAGACACTGTGCTGGTTCCTATGGAGTGGGCCAGATGAACCCATCACGTTCTCTTAAGGGACCAGCCGCACCCTGTCCTGTTCCCACCAGCCCCACCAGCATGCCCTGCAAGTTCACTGCATTCCCAGCTGCAGCCCTCATAGGGCCCTGCACGATGCAGTCGCCTCCTCCCTGGGATGGGAGCGGATGTCACAGTGGCTGGTCCAGCCAAGCAATTTTCTGACAGAGCACGATGAAGAGGTGGATCATTAGGGAATCTTCCTGGGTCTCATTTTTCAATCTAAGCACCACATTTACTTTTGTCCTTCCCAGCAGGAGCCACCTGCATGCAGACCTTATGGCTACATTCTCAAGGCCTAGCAGAGACAACCCCTCTATGCTCAGAAAATACTGTTGACTAAGCGGCTAGAGAGATGCTTTGGTCTGGGTCAGTTCTTAGCAGCCCCATGGTGGCTCACAACCATCTGTAACTCCAGTCCCAGGGCGTCTGAACTTTCTCCTGTCCTCCACAAGCACCAGGCATGCACAGGGTGCACACACCTACATGCACAGGGTGCACACACATACATGCAGACAAAACACCTATACACATAAGATAAATAATCTTTAAAAAGAATGACTAGAAATAGTGGTTTGGGGTTAGTTCTGTTTTTAATGTCTAAGCATTCACTGTTCTCTTCCCTCCTAAAGAATTGATGTTTTACGTAAATGATTCTCCTAGATTTTGGATACTTCAATTGGTTCATTTTACTTCTCGTTTATACATTTATATTTAGGGAAATTTTTATGTTTTCAATATATTGCCTTGCTTTCCGGTTAAGACAGTTATTTCTGAACATGGCAGATGCTCCACCAAGGTCGAGTGATGATGGTATGTGTGGCCTTACATGGAGACTCTCCACCCGTGTGGTCCTCTCAGGATGGCCTTTCTTGAGAGACCTTACTAGTTGGTCCCAAGGGATCCTTTCTCTGACCACTGTGAGATGACAGCTCCCTACTGCTTTGTCCGGTCATATATCAGAGTTCATTTCTAACCAGTTACACCTTCTCCATGTAACATGAGAGCATGTTTGAAAGGAGAGCAAGCCAGAGATGTCCACTCTTGACTCCCATCATCTGAGAGTTTGAGATCAGCATGTACTGCTATTACCAGTTAAAAAAAATAATCAGGGTGCTCACTTTGGCAGCGCATAAACTAAAATAGAAACCATACAGAGAAGATTAGCCTGGCCACTGTTCAGGGATCACATGCAAATTCCTGAAGCAGTCCATAAAAGTCAGTAAAATAATTAGGGGTTGGAGGGATGGCTCAGTGGTTAAGAGCACTTGCTGCTCTTACAGAGGACCTCAGTTCAGTTCTCAGCACTCATACTGGGCAGTTCACAACCACCTATATAATTCCAGTTCCAGGGTACCTAACACCCTCTTTTGGACATCCATATACAAGTGCATATACACACATGCACACAAACACACACACATATTCCACATATTTTCTCTCTCTCTCTCTCTCTCTCTCTCTCTCTCTCTCTCACTCTCTCTGTAAATCTTTTGAAAATACTAGTAACAATTAAAGCAGGAATAAATATGGCCTCTAAAGTGCTGGTCTGAAAAGATTCTTGAATATACTACTTTCCAGTTATTACCTGGAAGGGTGGGGTGGCTGTTGCTGCTAAACACTGCCCATTTGGGGTTCACACTGAAGTTCAGGCTGCATCCTCCTAGACCCTCAGCATATGTTGAGTGCTTTCAGAACTTGAACTATATCAAGTTCAAGGCAGTACTAATGCTCAGCTCTCCCAACTCTCGTACAGTTCAGGATTCCCTGCCCAGGGAGTGGTACCACCAATAGTGGGCATGTCTTGCCACCTCAATTAATGATATCACAACAGCCCTAACCTCCACCCCAGAAGCTCATCTCCCATGTGGTCCTAGGTTGTGCCAAGTAACAGTTAACACTACTGTTTCAGGCTTTCTTTTGGGCCACCAACCAGCTCCCAAATCATGACACAGACTTCTTAATAGTTGTGGATGTTCAGCCTTATCTTAGCTCTTATTTTAATGTTTCTTTACGTTTTTGCCTTGGGGCTTTTTACCTTTCTTTCTGTCTTTCTGTTTATCTTACTTTCCTGCTGTCTCTGTCTGTCCTTCTGGCAGCTGCCTGGCTTCTGGCGCTGGGCATGCCTCCCTCTTCTCATTCTCTTCTTTCTTCTCTCCTCTCAAACCTAGATTTCTCCTATTCTCTCTGCTTGCCAGCCTTGCCCATCCCTCTTCTGCCTAGCTATTGGCCATTCAGCTTTTTATTAGACCAATCAGGTGTCTTAGGCAGGCAAGGTGAAACAGACACACATCTTTACATAATTAAACAAATGCAGTGTAGCCAAATGTAACACATCTTTACATCGTTAACAAAGGCAGAAGAAACAAATGTAACACACCTTTATACAGTTAAAGTAATATTCTGCAGCATAAACAAATGTAACACATCTTTGCTCAGTTAAAATAATATTCCACAACACTACCATCCTACTGTAGTGTGTGTAAGCCCACTCGTGTTTGTGTGTGTGTGTGTGTGTGTGTGTGTGTGTGTGTGTGTAGATTAGAGGACACCCTCAGGTATCCTCAAGAATGGCATCTACCTCCTGTCACACAAGGTCTCTCATTGGCCTGGAACTCACCAGTTAGGCTCATTGCTAATTGCTGGCCCAGTGGTCCAGCAAGCTTCACGTGTCCTGTTTCCATCTTACCAGGGCTGAGATGGCAAGTGTGAGTCGCCTGCCTGACATTTTTACGTGGGTGCTGGGAATTGAACTCAGGTCCTCATGCTTGCAAGGCCAGAGCTTTACCAACTAACTGAGTTATCTCCCCAGGCTCTAAAACCATCTTTATTAAATACCGTGTTTGCAGAATTTGACTGTGTCGAATTAATTTAAAATCCTGCCAGCTGTAGTGAAGAGGGCCCAGGGTAGACTGCACATACATGAACGTGCTTGGAAACTGTATTTTACAAGTAGAGCAGCTCCTCTGTCTTATGTCAAGGGTGAGGGACACAGGGTCCCAGGCTTCCCTTGCCCTCCGCAAGCATTTTCATTAACTGGCATAAAAGGCTTACTAGTCGTAGACCAATAGGCAAGAATAGAGGACCCAGAAACAAACCCTTGCAACACCACAGCCCCCAGATGTTGGACAAAGTGACAAAACATACATTGGGAAAAAAGACTGCAACCTCTTCAACAATGGTGAGAGGAGCTCTGGATAACCCATGAGGAAGAGTGGAGCCAGCACCTCTCCCACCCCGTGTAAAAACCAACTCCAAAGGGATCAAGGACCTTCGTGTAAGGCCTGAAATGCTAAACTGCTAGAGAGAAATGTAGGGAAAACACTTCAAGACATAGGCACAGGCGAGGATTTCCTGAACAGAAATCCAGTAACACGGAGAATAATGACAAGAATTGGCAAATGGGATCGTGTGAAGTTTAAAAATTCCTACTCAGTAAAGGAATGAGGAGCGCCCACAGAAGGAAAGATAATATTTACCAACTATACCGCTGGCACAGATTAATATCTATAATCTAAAAGAACTAAAAAAAAAAAATTACCAGGACAGCCAGGCTTGCACAAAGAAACCCTGTCTCAACAAAACAAAACACAAACAAACAACAACAACAACAACAAAATTGTAAGGGGCAAAATCAAATCATCCAATCAATTAATGGGCAAGTACCACATTTCTGCAAATCTAAACTAAAAGCTGTATATGGCATGGAAGTAGAAAGCTGCTGTTTAGGGGAGAAAGGAGATCAGCAGAGAGGATAATCAATCGGGTGGTGAGCATGAGTAGAATGAACTGATGTGGTTGTCTGACATTGTCATAATGGAGCCCATTTGTACGCGGCCCAAAAAATTAACAACAAAAATGTTTGCCGGTTAGAGACTAAATGCAGGCATTTGCCTTTAGGGAAAGAGTATGGCAAGGCTGATGGAAGATGGCTGTATTCTGACCCAACCATTGTGTCTCTGGAAATTCTGACTGTTGTCTTGGATGGGTTTCTGGCATTGGTTCTCATTTACGCCATAGTCAAGGAGAAATATTACAGGTGAGTTCACTCCCGTCCAGCAGGAAGGGAGAGACATTAGCTGCTCAGTGCCCAAGTGACATATTTATCCACAAGACAAAAGCTTTCTGTAAGACTTCAAGACAAGATGTAAAGCTTTATCCTGAAATCTCAGAGATGAAAGAGTCCTCTCAGCTTTTAATCCCCTCTCCCACCACTTTTACAGATAACTAGCAGTCATTTTTCTTGATTCCTTTAACATTGTTTTGGCTCCATGACCACACTTGCAGACAGATTACAAATTTACATGTGTCCTGCCTCAAACGTTGATAATATTTGCGTGATTGTGTCAGTCACGGGTAATGAAAACCCTTTATCTACATATTTCATTGACTTTGGAGGAAGGATAATCGTCATCTTTTACAACAGATGAAACTGGCTGATGTCAAGATTCATCTCCAGGTCTCTTGGAGGGTCAGCGGTGACCTCACTAAGTCCCCCTGAGAACAGTGCAGGGTACTCAAGTGTCCTTAGAACTCTAAACGCTGTTAGAACAATGCTGGGAAGGGCAGGGTTGCTTCTGTAAGCAAAGATGGCGTCTTCACTGTCTAGGCTGACCTGGCCCATCCAAGGAGCACCACACAGAAGCCCACAAGTTTCAGTAGTAAAGACTGCTGGTGCTCCCCTACAAAAAGGATGCCCCAATTCAGAGTGCCAGGTTGTACCTGCTTCACTTCGTGTCTTCTCTCCACAGGCACTTCATACAGATCACCTTGTGCGTGTGTGAACTCTACGGTGGCTGGATGACCTTCTTCCCTGAGTGGCTTGTGGGAAGCCCCAACCTCAACACCAAGAGCTGGCTCTACTTTTGGGTCTATTTGGTGTTTTTTAATGGCCTGTGGGTTCTGATCCCAGGACTGCTGCTGTGGCAGTCATGGAGGGAACTAAAGGAGACATATTTCCAAGGGGCCGATTTAGAGAAAAAGTATGAGTAAAGTCTGGGAAACATTGTGCTCTGATGTTCTGCTGTATGAGTCAGGATTGACCGGACATTCTAGTCAATACTTCCTTTTTACAGTGTTGCTTCCAGACAACCGTTACAGATGGATGGGAGGGCGACAAACGTGGCTGTTTGTTTGTGTCCTTTGATTGAATGACAATATAAAGAAAGGAGGACATGGGGTGTGGTGCTTGCCTTAGTATTCCCAAGACCCCGAGCTGCACTCTCAACACTACAAAGGGGTGGCGGGTAAGTTTTCACTTGTAATAAGATCATATTAAATTAGATGCTCTTATGACTTGCATAAGTGTTATGCCATGTTAGTGAATGGTATTGCAGAATACTGTAAAGAGCAGGATAAATTTTTATTCCAAAAGAACCATTTTGCTTCAGCCTTTTTCTTCTCAGTGGTCTCTTTGGGTTAATGGTGTAAACCTAGAAGTAAAAGGGATGATTCTGTTTTACACTTTTTCAAATTTGTGCACCCAGTAGGAAACAATAGCAGTGTCTGGAGTGGTGGTGTACCTGTGTACTTGGCAAGCTGAGGAGGATCATGAGGCCAGTCTGGGTGACATAGCATGTATCCTATCTCAATAAAAAAAGAAAGTGGGGGATGAGGTTTGAGAAAGGGTTTCTCTGTGTAGCCCTGGCTGTCCTGGAACTCACTCTGTAGCCCAGGCTGGTCTTGAATTCACAGAGATCCGCCTGCCTCAGCCTCCTGAGTGCTGGTATTCAAGGTGTGCACCAACACGACCAGCTGGTAAAATTTTAACAATATAACTATGACATACATTCTAAAAGGTTTGATGCAGTACAATTTGTGCCCTAACAGTCTGGGCGATGGAGAGGAGTAGACACAAGCTTGGTGTCTGTGCTCTGTACCACGACGAGGCAGGGCCATGTAGTGTCTCAACTTGCTGGAATCAGTTCTCTCTGGGTCCTAGACATTGAGCCCAGGTCGTCAGGCACCTTCACCCTCTGAGCCATTTCACTGACTCCTCCAATGTGGCTTTAAGCTCCATGAGCTTCCCTGCTTTGGGGGGCAGTTATGGAGGGGGAAGCCAAAGAGAGACCAAAAAGGGGGTAGCCCTAGTGGTGGCCTGTTGGTCATGCTGCACCTCCTTGACAGAGTCCCCTCTGTGGTTTGGAAGTCATCCCCAGAAGTTGTACCTTGTCACTCAGAGAGTTGACCCCAGACACAGACCTCGCAGAATGTCTGATAGGGACACCAGACATGGCGGGTATTTTCACCCCAAATGTTTGGAAATAGATGTTCATTCTATGATGAGTACACCCAGTGCACTAAAAACAAAGAGAATAGAACTGATACTCACAACGTCACAGAAGGTGGAAAGACCATGCCCGGAGAATGCAGAGGGTACGATTTTGTCTGTAAATTTCATAAACACAATAGAAGTTGAGTATCCCTGACCAGAAATGCTTAGAGACAGAACTTTTCTGTAGCTGGTGGAATATGTGTGTGAACTGTAGAGGGTTTGATTCCCAGCATCCACACGGTGGCTCACAACTGTCTGTAACTCCAGTCCCAGGCAAACCCAATGCCCTCTTCAGACACCAGGCACACACGTTACATAGACATGCATGCAGGCTTTAAACATTCAGACACATACAATGAATAGATAAATAAAATATTGTAAGTCTAAATTTTGCTTGGAACCGTAGAAATCAGTTGCCCTGTGCTTGACTTCCCATCATATCTGTTGTGTGGATGCTGAAGAAAATGGGAAACAGGATTGGAAGAGCAATCTTGAGGTTGTGGGAGCAGGAGGGGGGTGATTAGAATATGTGGGACATGAAGGCTGGTGGTCCTGGGTTCTATAAGAAAGCAGGCTGAGCTAGCCACAAGGAACAGGCCAGTAAGCAGCACCCCTCCATGGCCTCTGCATCAGCTCCTGCCTCCAGGCTCCTGCCCTGTTCTTGTCCTGACTTCCTTTAATGATGAACTGTGATTTCCTCCCTGACTTGTTTTGGTCATGGTGTTTCACCTAGCATGTACCAAGTCCTGGATCTAATCCCCAGTGCTGCATGGTTGGACGTGGTGGCACACACTTGCAATCTCAGCTCTTGAGAGGTTGAAGCAGGAAGTTCAGAAGTTCAAAGTCATCCCCAGCTGCGTACATAGTTCAGGGGCAGCCTGGGATACACAGGACAGGAAGGAGGAGGGAGCAGCGATGTGTTTTGTCCACCCCCACCTGCTGTTATTAGTGCTCTAAATTTCTCTTGTGAACCCCTTCATTCCAGAAAAGCATTGAGCTGATGTCTTTATAATCCATCTGAGAAGAGTCCAGGTGATACCTACTATGTCCTTGTGATTTGTCTTGGCTCTGCTAATCCTGAATGGTGACACCCGAGTTCTAAGAACAGGCTACATGTTGAGGTGTGAAAATTATAAAGCCTTGCCAAAGAGAGGCTGAGAGACCAAAATACAAACAAAAGGTTTATTATGATTGGTTGAATGTCAACTTGCCCCAAATTAGAATCACCTGTGTAGGGAGCAGCCCCCGAAGAACTGTCCTGATGCCTCGCTGATGTGGGAAGGCCCACCCCTGAATGTGGGCAGCACTTTCTGGCAGAGAGACAATCCCTGGCCTTTGGGCTTGGCTTTTTGCCTGCGCTGGCTGGTTTACTCTGTTGCTGCTGCTGCTGATTATTCACTATTGGAATCGGTAGTCACAGGCTTCCGTCACTGACTAAACACCAGTGGCTCTCCAGGAATCTTGTAGGTTTGCAGGGCCAGACTGGGTCTGCCGAGGGACCCAGCCTCAAGGATCAAGTGTTGTTACTATTTTCACACCAGCTGATTTGTTAAATTACTTAATATATACGTGTAGATGCTAGGTGAACAGATTGATTGATTGATTCACCCTGGTGGTCCTTTGCTCTGGAGAGCCCTGACTAATACAAGGCTTAGAAAAGAACCCCGTGTTTTTCTTTATAATATGCAAATTATAGCTATGGTGTAGTGTGCACACCTGTAATCTCAGCTCTTCGGAAGCAGACAGGAGTATCTCCGGAAGTTTAGGGTCAGCCTGTGCTACAGTGCGCAAACACAGTTTCAAAAACAGCAAAAATCATCATAAAAATGCATGTGCCTGCTTTGGGTTTGTTATCAAGGCTCTCATTTGGGTCTAAGGAGAAATCGTCTATAAAGAGAATAATTGGGCAAAGCCTCCAACAAGCAGGTTAGCTGCCATACTCCCTTAACTTTAAATGCCCTGAAGTACTAGTCAGCGCCTGCCAGGTGTAGGCGGGCCAGTGCACCAGCCTCCTTCACCCACTCTTTATTTGGAGACTGCATCTTCTTCATGAAGCACACCTGGACATTGCTGCCCATCCCAGATTTAATCTGTTTCCCACCTCTGCTTCCCTGTAGGAAACAATCACATCCATTGGTTAACCCTAAGAAGTTAATAGTCGAGGCAATCTGATGCTTTACTGGATGAATTTCCTTCAAAACCTGCTTTATTACAAGGGCTTGGCTGTAGTGGTAAAGCACTGCCCTAGTGTGCCTGACACCCTGAGTTCCAGCCCTACAACGCAAACACTCAAAACTAGAATTGGTAGATGTGCAATGCTGAGAATGGAAAATTGGAAGAACAAAAGTAAAAATCAATCTGGGTATTGGTAACGTGTATCTTGGTGTTCAGCTACTCCAGAGGCTGGGGCAGAAGGATCTTTTGAGTTCAGTAGTTTGAGACCAGTTGGATAGCATAGTAAGACCCTGTCTCAATGGAAAAAGATGAGGAGGGTGGAGGGAGAAAGTATGTCTCTGACCAGAGAGGATCAATATGACACACTTGGTTTCAGTTTCCTAAAGATTTTCCTGGGCGTGTATTAACTTTTGGGACTTTACCATCCTCTCTCCTTTGTGGTCAGCTTTCCATTTTGCAAGCTGCAGCTCTCTGTGTTATATGAAATGTAACTGTGGATAGTATGAAAAGGCCTTCATTTTTGAGAAATGTGTGCGCACAGCAGAGGCCGGTTGGCGGCGATCATCCTTAACTTGTGAAGCAAGTTTCCTCAGATGTTTATGTGATGTGGGGCAAGTAGTCGGTACTTTAAAGTATTCAGGGGACCGCTTTTCAACTCTGCAAGAGAGGCTCCAGTATGCCCATCATGCTGCAAAGTTAGGTCCTGGTTCCATCCCTTCTCTCCTGGAAGCCTTATCTTGTCCACTTCTCCCAGCCCCTGTCTCTGTCACTTAAGTGGCCCTGGGTAGCATTCAGTAGTAATTTTTGTACACTCACTTCTTCAACTACACAGGAGCCTTCTAAGGCCACACATGGAATCCTAGATTTGTGTTGCTTAAAGGGGTCTTTTAAAAAAATCCTGTTTATGCACAGGGAAACTGAGGCACACAAGAGTTAGAGCACCAGTGGACTAGGTCAAAGTCCACTTAAAAGTGCTCCTTGTAGCCGGGCAGTGGTGGCGCACGCCTTTAATCCCAGCACTCGGGAGGCAGAGCCAGGCGGATCTCTGTGAGTTCGAGGCCAGCCTGGGCTACCAAGTGAGTCCCAGGAAAGGCGCAAAACTACACAGAGAAACCCTGTCTCGAAAAACCAAAAAAAAAAAAAAAAAAAAAAAGTGCTCCTTGTAGCAAGATGTGGTAGAATACTATGTAATTAGATCCTCAGGAGCCTGAGGCAGAAAAAGCTCCAGTTCAGAGCCAGCTGGGCTACAGAACAGGACTTCAACCCCCAAAACAACAACAGCAGCAGCAGCAACATGGTCTTTCTACCCTAACAATGAGTCTTACATAGAATATTAGACATGCTCCCAAGAACATAAAAAGTCTGAAAATTAGAGCGGAGGTGTTACACACTTAAAAAAAATTAACCTATATGTCTTAGTTACTTTTCTATTGCCATGACAGAACACCATGACCAAGGCAACTTATAAAAGGAAGCATTTAACTGGGGGCTTATGGTCCATGACCATCATAGTGGGAAACATGGCAGCCACCAGGCAGGTAGGTATGGTGCTGGAGCCGTAGCAAAGAGCTTGTATTATGATCCACCCAAGACAGAGAGAAGAGAGAGTGTGTTGGGAATGGCCTGGACTGTTGAAAGCTTAAAGCCAGCCCCCAGCAGCACATTGCCAACAAGGTCACACCTCCCAATCCTTCCCAAATAATTCACCAACTGGGGACCAAGCATTCAAACATATGAGCCCATGGGGGCCATTCTCATTCAAACCACCACACTAAGTAACTTCTGATCATGTGGGTCTATTCATTACTCTTGAATAGCCCTTAATTTCATCACTTGGCTTGGTGCTTATGTACTGTCCTGTTTTTCATATTTCACTGATTGGACCTGCAGTTGAGTGACAGTAGTTACTGTTACTTGTCCTGTTGTT